TTTCCATTTTCACAGTGACGAAATCGGTTGGGCCATTACCGACTATGTGTCTATGTATATAGCATATAGTACCAATAGTAGTAATAATAATAATAACGATTCTCTTAAGTTTTAGATTTTAACTCTTAGAGAAATTAGATAAAATTAAATTTAAGCTTTCCATTTAAGTGGGGTGAAGCTGAGACCGTTTTCCATGCGTTTTCGGGGGGCTTTGAGGAACACTTTCTTAAAAACAACTTGACCCAAATGAATGATTATTTGTGTGCCTTGAAGCAATTCATCTGTTCTGGTTTACTGGAAATAAAAACTAAATGTACCTTAAATGACGAAAAGCTTGATGTTACAGGAGACGCATGACTCTGGTATACCAACAAGTATCAACGGTCGACCTTTGGCAACTTAAAAAACTATGTAAAGTGTTTATTTTTTACAAGTGTACAGTGCTATACAGCGTTGGTTGTTTGTACTCAGGAGAGTAGCCATAATTTCTTCTAATAATTTAAATAACGTTTTCTATGTGTATAACACATTTTTAGGATATATTAGAATTAAGTATACATACTGAAATTTCAAAAAACAAATTTGCCTTTTGTAGGGGATAATTGGAAAGCGGTATTTCCTGTTTTAGTTTATTTAATGCGCAGTATATGAGTTAAGGCTTTTTTCATTTGTTTTTTTGTTTAAGTAGAATTCTTCGTTTACATTTTTGTTTTTATATTGAATACCAGACAATTCAAAGTAAAAAAAAAAACATAAAAAGAGGGTAGGGGGAATGGTCCTGTAGAAGAGATTCTGAGGAATTCAAATCTGTATTCAGACTATCGGTACGCTGGAACAAAAAAAAAAAAAAATTCCTAAACTGTGCGTTAGATAGACAAAGAAAAAGGAAATACCTCTTTGCAACCCCCTTAACTTTCCGAATTTTCTAATAGCACTGGGTGGAACTAAGGAAGTACTCGGACATCCCGGTAAGAAACTTGCGGGACGTTCCAATCTCACCGACGTCGAATGTCCAGGTAGAATATGATCTGCTTCGTCGTTTAATGATTCTCGCCAATTGGTCTTTTTAATGGGCACATTTTAAGACGCCAATAACGCCAATAATGCCAATAAGGGATTACTATTTGTACTATTTGTAAAGACTCTCGTTGAGTATGAAAACACTATTCGTTTACATTCGATAAGACATTAAGATATCTGCGCAGGATTAGTGTCATAAGCAAAACATATTATATTCATTGAAAATAAATGATACTATCATATTGTAATAACGATTATTATTTTAAAGCGCACTGTGATCGAAGACATTATCTTATAACAATACAAGAAACGGTTTATAAGCCGATAAATATAATATTTATTATTATAATACACAAAAACATATGCGCTTAATAACTATGTATATACGATTGTTTTGTATTGCGCCGTAATAACGATGCAGATGTTTTCCATTGGTTTCACGACCCTATTCCATAATAATTGGACAACACATGGCTTCGTTTTGACGGTAATAATCGTGGAGTTTTCAAAGTTTGAAAGAGTAATAATAATTGGATTGTTCCAGACTTTAACAGTACTTTTAGCGTCTCGTCACCGTGTACAACACAGTATTCGCGCCTTGCAACAATTATTATTATTATTATTGCGGTTAATCGGGGGCATGGCGTAAAAAAATAATAACAATAAAAAACAAACAGACGCGTGCCCCGGTAATGACCCTTTACGGATGGTGGTAAAAAACGCGTGGCGTCGGTGAGTTGGCATAAAAAAAAAAGAAGCAAATAATATCATCAATAAAAATGCCATGTGGCGACGTCATCGACGTGCGGTGGGCGCCATTTGGTAATGTCGGTGTGCGCGGTTATACTGTCCGCCTATTAAACAATACAATACTGATATGTATGCGATGTAGGCAGGTCCGGTGCTAAGAAATATGCAAGGGGGGGGGGTGTCAAAATGAAGATGCCGACTTTAAAATTTGAACTGCCGACTAAAATATTTGGGTACTTTCGTAAATATTTTATGATATTTTACATCACAAGTAACAACTTTTTTACTAAAATTAATGGGAATTAATAATTGTTGAAAATAATAATTTTTTTGACTTAATTAATTCTGTGGCTTGGAGCAAGTAGGGCCAATGTCACTTTTTGCAACTTTCGGAAAATGAGCTTTGAAGTTTTTATTTTCCATTAGGCTCTATGTTAATTTTTGTTATCAAACTCTTTATGAGTAATTCATTTTTTGGCCTCAGAGTGTGATTTTTTTACAGTATATAAAGAATGATTCAATTTTTGCAATTAGCGGACTAACTCGTTTATGCACTAAATTGACATTGGCCCTTCTTGCTCCAAGCCACAGAATTAATACAAACAAATTTAGATAGTACAAGTAAAAAAACCATCATAAGTTAAACTTTAATACGGCGTTTTTTTTAATGCGGACTATTTCTTTGTTATTTCTTCCAAATCAATTATATCGAGAATATCTCTCGTGGACTTTAAAATCGTGAGGGTCATTTTTTATAATTTTTAAAAAAATAAAAATAAGGGGAAAAATGATAATGATGTGGTATTGTTATAAATTGTAACTAGATTGTTTTGATTATTAAAATGTTTTTCGGAGCATAGAAATATTTTAGACAGCTAAAAAATTTATCTATTACTAAATTTTCAGATCTCAGTCACCAATACTAAAACAATTTGAATGTACTACTTTAAAAGCATTATTTTAAAAATGTTTGAGTTTATTTAACATAATTATAATGTATTGCAGTTGAAACTGCAATTTAGCCGAGTAACGACGGTTGCTGTTTTTTTGAACAACTTAAGAAATAGGAGGAAATGTAGTATATTTACAAAGTCGATCGGATTGATGAAAATTAAAAATTTTAACGCTGAAATATTTTTAAATTTTTTTCTTCGGTCTACATATCTATGGAGCTAAAAACTTAAGTTTTCATTTGGAGAAAAAAAATCTGTGTTTATTATGTTATTTTGTATATGGGATGAAGATACAAATATTCAATATTAAGTTTTAAAGGTATTGAAAAATATAGTAAAATACGTATATACCTACAAGTATACAAAAAAATTAATTTTTAAAAAACCCATATTTTCCGAGTAAATGATTGTTTTATATCAGATGAACCACCCTGTATAAAAAATTACAAATTCTAACCCGCAACCTCTTGGTCGGGGGCCATGGTATAACCCATCACGCCATCTAGACACATTAAGTGTAGATGGCAATTCTTAGGTATTTAACATAATACCATTAAAATTAATAAACTTTTAAGTCGTATAACCCAAAAACTAATGATTTCTGCAACTTTTTTTTTGCACCATCGGGTTTAAAACATTAAAATACTTAGGTTTCAAGAAAAAAAAAGGGCGTCCGATAATGTAGATTTGTTCCCAATGTCTAACATTCAGTTAATTTTTTGTTACTTAAAAACCAATACGTTTTAACTAATAACTTGACGTAGTTATGTAAAATTATTAACTTAACTGTAAGTTATTTAGGGCTTTTAACGACAGCGCTAATCATGGAAATATTTTTATGGTGCATGCCAAGGTCTTATATAGGCTTTAAAAAATAATATAATATACTTTTCGGGCAAGGGCTCGATCTTTACATTTTACAACGTTAAAATATTATTATATTGGTATAAAATTTAATAATATGCTTCTCGCGCCAGAGAGGTGTAAAAACGAATGGCAAAGAGAACCGTATTAAATATTTTCCTTTTTTATTTCACCATAGTAATTTCGTGTACTCGCGAGTTTATTATTATTAATATATATTTTTATATTTAATGTATACTTGAGGTTTTATGTGAGTTTTGGACATCTAATGATGGCGTCGCCCGTCGCCCCACGTCTATTTGTGGGGCGACCGTAGTGAGTTTGGCAGCCACAGCGGTTTCCTTACTTTTATCCTCGCCGTCGTCCACCCTAAATATACCATATTATATTCTATATATATATATATGTATTTTATTGTGCGGAAAACGTCTTGTTTTCGGACTTACCCACCCTTGGGAGTTTCTTTTTCTTTTTATTAAAGTTTAATTCGTTTTTTCCGGGAAAAGCTAAAAAGAAACCAAAAATCGTTGCTATAAAGGTCGCTAAGCGATTTTCCTTTTTTCTTTTTATCGAAAAAAAAGAAAGATTAAACGTTTTTATTCTTTTTATTTACAAATCTCGGAAATCAAATGTTAAAAAAAAAACCTTTAATATAATATGCGAATAGAAGCGCTTGTTGATATTATATTACTATCATAACAAAAACCCACCATATTGAACTGATTAGATTCTATAAAATAAAACAATAAAGTTACCTAATATAAGCCAATGTTTAGAAGAAAAATGTTGTTAGACAAGAACTAACAACGCACTTGAGCTCCTTTTTTGTTAAATGTTAAAGCGCGTTTCAAATATGACTCCATCATTTAAATAAAGTAACAAATATAAAAAACTACTATGTTGACACTTGTCGATAAATATAATTTTATCCAATTTTAAAAATGGTTACAAATTAAATTAAAAGTACATTAGTAGAAATCAAATATTTGTCTCATATTAATTAGAACAAAAAGTAAGATTTGTATGTGTATAATTTTTACTTCGGCTTATAATTTGTATAAACTTGAATATAATTCTTGCATATTTTTAATAAAAAATTCAATGATCAAAATACATAGTTATATTTCTCAGTAATTTAATTTTAATAAATGTTTTTTTTTTTTTGAGTTTTAGTAATTATTATATGCAAGTTCAAAAAGATTACATACGAATTCATTTTTTCTCTAAAGTACGTTTTAAGAACATTTCTTTAGTTATTTTACTAAAAGATTTTCTTAGTAAAAGAAAATTACTTTTGGAAATAACTAATATTTCTTCGAGAAATACTGTCATGACTTATTTTTATCTAACTGATGTTTAATTTTAAATGTACGGATATTACGATTGTTATTTTAAAGAACTTTAATGTTTCAGATACGTCAAGACCTTTCTTGCTAAAAAGAAGAAAATATCCAGTTTTAAGGTAAGAGAAATAAAATAATACCAATAACAAATGTCTTCTACATTACAAACTACAAATAAATTGGGAGTAATTCATCTTAATCATAGTAAAATAAAAAATATGTATAATTGAGAGGGTTTTGACTTAAAATTAGCTTGTGTTTTATTATTATAATCATTATTTTGTTATATTTTTATTTTTAAACCGCTATACTACATCATTTTTCATTATTTTCGAAAAAAAACAATGTATCAATATTATGTACTTATATACACCAATATATTATTCCATCGAAACTTATCTTTTAACATTAGAATATACTTCTTTTACGCAAGACAGCAAGACAGAGTTGCCGTAATCCGTAATCTATGTGCATATATTTCAAGGTAAAAGTAAACATGCACTAATGCACTACTAGTGTATATACTGGAATTGTGCCCGGCTGAAGAATGGTCGCGGTTTATGTTTTATTCCGGTTTTGTATTTATTTATTTTTCCCATTTTCATCTTCATTCGTCCAAATGTGTTTTAAAAAGCAATAAAGTATTGTTTGTTTTTGGATGAACACTGCGCATCTAGACTGTCCAAAAAGTACTTGCAAACCTTTGGGTATGATGTTTTTTTTATCTAGGGCCTTTTCCATATACTTTGTCTAAGCGATTGAATATTTTTTTTCCCGCAAATTTTACTCAACGTTTTGCGGCGTACTTGCGTTGCCCGGGTGGATAACGCGAAAAAAGGCAATTTTGAAAACTTCTGGCGTTAGAAAAAAATCATTGTACGCATTGTCGGCTGTTTAATCCACCTTAATTGGAACAGCGGTATGCCGGACTCAATAAATAACACGAAGGACATGGCCGCAGAATGAAACTTAAAGCCTCGTTTTGTGTAATGGGAAAAAGTTTTTGCTTTGCGCCCTCCCCTCCCAATTCTAAACCCAGAGCGATTTTATGAAACCGACCATAAATATGAACGTTTTGCGAGCGGCGCGAACGACCGAAGTGTATAGAGGAAGCACATACAGTGAATGATATATTGTCGTGATCCTGTGCGTGCACACATAGCACATTGATGTTAGAGAATCACAGTGTCTTAAATTAGGTAACGTTTATATACACTACTATAGTGTTTGGCAAAAACTTTGTGCCGAATATTTCACAACAAAACAAACACGAACACCCCGCTCTTGCCCCCAACATCTTGTTGCATTAGTCTTAATTAGTAAAAAGCCCTATTCATTTACTTAGTGTAGAATGTATTCAAAATAGTTATGCAGACGACCAAAAAACGATAAGCCCTAATTTCTCGGGATGCTTATCTTAGCTTTGATCTCTTTAAAAATAATTAAATGAAGAATTTTTAGGAAGCCTAAAGCATAACATTTTTCAAAAATTCGACTGATTTTTTTCTTAACTGACTTTATTTCAATGGTAACTCATTTAATTAATCTTTTACAAGATAAACATTATTTAATTAACTTATGAAACGATTTACATAAAACGTTCAAATCATGTTCTTATTTCTTTTACGAGCACTTGGAATCTGCTTTAATAACATTTTGTTGTGTTGGTATTTGGTCGTAATTTTAAATAGTAAATTTTTATCATTTTTTGCTTCTCTTAAACTAGTATCGATACGAATGGTTTATACATTTTTAAAAATGTTAAATACTATCTTAGCGACAAGTTCAATGTGGATTGATCCGATAATATCTCTGCGTACATAAAAATACAACTCAAACCTGATGGACTACTACATACCATATAAACGGGCTGCTCGTTCTATAGAACTGACAAAAACAAAAAAGCAAAAAAATGTATTTTATGGCACGAATTGCAATTAATTTTAAATGATCCTCTTGAACGCGGACGTATTTTTGAAATGTAATATTAGTTTTTAGCGATTTTTGTGATAAAAAATGTAATTTATATTTTATCTAAAAATTGTTTAAAAAAAAAGATCCGATGCTCTTGAAGTACACGGTACAGCTCATCCTATAGCAGGTACAAGGCAGTTTTTTTTTGCAACAGTAGCGCACTTGACACTTTAGCGGCGACATGTGAACAACACAGCATAAAATATAGCATATTTTTTTTTGTGCCAGTGTATAATTAGACACATGATGAGCGGATAACGACTTTTGAAAAATCTCTCTTGTGTGGAAAAACTCGTGACCCCGATGACTCGCGACCAATGGAAGCACCACGGTTAAAGTTAAGTTTAATTTTAATTTGTTTTGACTTCTTCGTTCGCAAAACCGATTCATTAATTATCTCAAAACGTATTAGCGACGAAAGGTCGATAGAGACGTGAGTTTTGCATTAATCAATACACGATACAATTAAGTAGAATTATTTTCTTATTATTTACGGTGTGCATGTTTAGAAAATGTTAGTATAATGAGCAGAATCCCAATTTAATTGTTACTCCCATTCCTCTTAGACTGAGTGTCTACAACGATTCACAACGTGCATTATACGCTTCAGAATAACTACATATAAATACATATGTATGAGTTCAAAAAAAAAATTGATATACTATGTACTTTTCAGGATTTCTCTAATAATTCATCGAAAACTATAACAATAAAACATATATTATTCATATCTTTTAAATTTAAAGTAATAAAATGTATCACACTGTTATGAAATATTGTGTTCATGATTTACAATCATTTTTGACAAGTATATGTTGAAAATATTTAAAATTACCTACAGTATAGTTTACGGTTTTTTTTTGTTGGGTAACAAATTATGCCGGATGTACTTAATGTCTGAAACATAAATTCAAAATAAACGTCCAAGTTAAATTCCGGAGGATTTTTCGTTAAACTTACTTTAGACCTGTGGGATCGTCTGTATAGTAAGAAAATACACAAATGTTTTTTCTTCCTTCCTTTTTTTTATTATGCCGGGCTTCGTGCTTTTCCGTTAAAGAAAAAGTAACTCTAATCCAACAACGACATACAGTAACGAAAAATAAATAAAAGTGTTTTACAGTAATTTATGTGGCTTTTTTACCGAATGCTATGAAAATTCTCGGAAGAATGGTTTTCCTTGGCAACAATTCATTAAGAAAATTAGCTTTGTGTGACGTGATCGTAGATAGCACCTCATACCTGCATTTGCCAACAGATCAGAACATGAGTAATTAAACTTTTTTAATTATCTAACACATAATATACTATGTGCTATTTTGTATAATCGACCGTAATATCATCAACCAGCCACAGGCTATATGAAAACTATATTTTATAAAGTCTGTGGTAAAGCTATGTATATATTTTGTTGTCGAAGACAACGTTTACTATACGTTTACTTTATAATAATTACATTGGTTAGATATGAACCTATGCAGTGCTGTATATTTTGTAAACTATAAACGTTGTTCCGCTAAGAATGAAAATATGAACTCAATACATACAAAAAAACGCATTAAAATATTATAAAATCAATATCTTTTCAGTTTCGCATCAAATAGTTATATTTGTTTTTACATATACAGCGAATAAATAGTGTAGTGAGCATAATAAGGAAATTACTTATTGGCATCTATGGTGGCTTATAGAAGAATATTTATGACTCTACAATAACTCCTGATTAAATTGTTTTAAGTAGTATTTAATAAGGTTATTTTCCGTAATGTAAGCCTTCCAAGAACGAATAATTAGTGCGAAGTACATTTATTAGGAAAATTAATTTAATTTCTTTCGAACTTTTTAATTATTTGATTCTTTATTATTAAAATTTTTGTCCACTATTTATTTAATAGCAATTATTAATAAACCAATAACCCTAGTTGTAAGTACCAATTTAAAAAAATAATGGACGAAGCTCTTTTTTTGCAATAATCGGTTCAATTGTTATTAAAAAATAAATCAGCCCTTCTATAGTGTGGTATAGTGCGCGGACAATTTCACCAGAAGAAAATATATTCAGAGGAGAGGAATAACTTTTCTTTTAAAACTACCTTTAAATGTATATCAATTCGTTTTTGTAAATCATTGGACAGCTATTTATAATAGTATAATAGCGAACGAAACATGGTAATGATAAACAGAGTCTTCGCCGTGTTGAACTTATGGCATGATTCAGTACAAGTACAGTGTTCAACCTGTATTGAATTATGTTACTTCAGTTATTACCACAAAGCAATATAAGCATGAATACAAATTAATGTAAATTAATTATTAACGTTACGAATACTATTGAAATATTTATATATATATTTGAATTTTCCTATATTCTTAAGAAAACCAACAAAAAAACCGACTTGTATCCGGACGATAAAGATATTTAGCATGATGATTTTGTTTGTTATTAATTGGTATTATAAATTCTGTGGCATCGTAGCTATCGCGAGACTGGTGGTATTATTAAATATTTAATGACTTCTGATCTCGAACACCGTGACTTGGCATTTAAGTATCATATTTCATCTCGATTATCGAAGTTACTAGCGGGTAGGGCTGTTTTGAATGTCACACACACAATAATACAAAAAAAAAAATGTGTTGCAAAATGACTTGCAAAATTGTATAATCGATGCACGAGGGTAGTGTAGAGTGTAATCGGGCGGTAGTGCAGTTGACAAAATCGCAAGGGACGATGCGAAGCGCACTGAACGTTTCGTAGGTGTGAATCATTAAAGGACATATTATTAATAATTTAATATTTCAAAAGGAAGAAGTGTTTCGTTGATGGTTTTAGCGTCAGTTGGCGAAGGCGTCAAGAACACAAACGCATACTCCGGCTGCGACAAAAGACACTCGTGGGCAATTAGTGACACTGCAGCCGTAAACGAGAGAGGGGTTATACTTCTCGAAGGAAGTATAAGTAAGGGCGAAGACGCAAAAAAAAAAACCAAGTTTGTATACCCGCGCGACGATAGCGATAGCGTGAAAAAGGGGTAGAACACTCTCGGTGAAAAAAAGTGTTTAAAAAAAAAACCAAGAGAACCATTATACAAAAGCGTCAGAGGTCATGCGTATGTGTAGGAACAGGACAGGACACAGGACAAGG